AACTTAAAATTTTTTGAAAGCCATTGGTGCTATAAGGAAACTGTTGCTGAGTCTAGAAGGAAAAATTTTCATGAAACCCCTGTCACTGCTAGGACTCCTCGTGATCAGTCAGACTTTGTCTCTCCTTTCACCATTCATCCTAGGAAGTCTGCTAGCAGGTCCTTTGCATCCAATTCTGAAGTCATTTCCTTGCTTGAAGACCTCAAACAGCATGTCTTGCTTATTGAAGAAGGTCTCATGATGACCATGATCTCTGACCAAAAATCCTCCATTGAAAAAAGAAACCTTCTTGTCCCTCCAATACCTGAGAGCAATGTAAATGAGCCTAGAACTGAGCCCACAGGACCAACTACTGGTACTGAGACTACACCAGCTTCCAGTTCTCAGCCCAAGGATAAAGGCAAGGCTCCAGCAACTGAGAAATCAGATGAAGATAGTGATGAAGAAACTGAGGAAGAAGAGGATCCTGGACAGTATCGTCTGGCCAGGAGAAGGCTTGGATCATCTAAAATCACCATCTAGGCACTATTAGGTCACTGCACCTTTATCTAGGACTATAGTTCATCTTTTGCATTGCACTTTTGTATTAAGTGCTGAATACCTGGTCTGTACAACTGGATATTTTTTTTACTGTTTATGAATGCTATAACTAAGTATTTTGTTATGAATGTTTTGAATGGGTGTTATGATTGGTTATGTGTTTGTGCAATCTGCTGATTGAATGAATGTTTCTGATTGATATCTGCTAAATGATTGATTCTAAACTGTGCTGTACATTGTAAATGTGTATACTGATATTGTTTCGGATGGGATGCATTGCTGGTACCAAAACTGATATTAAATCTTGTGATGACAAAAAGGGGGAGAATTGGAATTAGATTTGGTTTAACACTGATGGTGTAGAGTAACTAGTTAGGGGGAGTCAGTCTCAGGGGGAGTTGAGTTGGATCAGCACTGATGATGTGGATTGCGTTTCTTCCTGTATACTACTCATGCACTTTGTTAGGGGGAGCTACTCATGCACTTCGTTAGGGGGAGCTGTTATATTTTGCTCTATCCAATTGTTTTGTCATCATCAAAAAGGGGGAGATTGTTTATCTCAACTCATACCTTTTGATGATTACAAAACAAATGAATGTTTCTAATACCTTTTGTAGAGATCCTTTTCAGAAATGAACCAAACAGGTTTGTGGATTTAAAGCAAAAAAAAAAGATCAAAAAGAATGAAGACAGCTGAGGATGATGTCGGACGCACAAAAGGAGAGTATCGGACGTCTGACATTCTTTGAGTTTCTTCGGACGAGTGAAGAACTCAGACTCGGACGTCCGAAGAAGACAAGCCAGGAGTTATTTGACTACTGATCATGATCGGACGCTCAACACCTGTGTATCGGACGTCCGACAAGTATTGCTGCTCTTCGGACGAGTCACTCCGGACGCATCGGCCGTCCGAAGGAATTGAAAAAGAAAGTCCAAGTATGCATCCTACCCTTGGACGCATAAAAACCAAACATCGGACGTCCGACAGCACCAACGGCTAGTTGACTCTTCAGTTGCCTTCTACCCGTTGACAGCATTAATTGAAGAACTTTCAGGCCTCCTATAAGAAGAGCAAAGTCAACCACCTCAAGAGAACTTTGCACATCAAGCCTACATCAGATCGTGAGTGATTCAAGTGTTAGAATACTCAAAAGGAACATTTGTACTCTTTACTTGTGCAATTTTCGTGTAGTTTTTCAAGTGTGACATAGCTTCTTCAATAGTGTAGCATAGTGAGGGTTTGCGAGTGTTTGTAAAACTTCCTTGCTTGACCAAATGTGGTTTGGGGCAAGAAGGAAGTGATCCCTTCCTTGTACACAAGAGATTGGTTGCAAGTTTGTTCAACTTGAAGTAACTTGGTATATAAAAGTGGTGTTCAAACCTCAGTTGTGTTTGAAGCCTGGTTTGTTTCTTTACTTTCATTTACTGCTGTTCTACATAAACTGTTTCTCTCTACATCTCACGAATACTTGTGCTCTTGTGCTATCTTGTTCATTGGGTGGTCTTTGAGAAAAGAAAGGTAGACTGTGAAAAAGTGGCCTATATCTTAGCAGGTTTTTGAAAGCCTAAATCACCCCCCTCTTAGGTTGTCTTCGATCCTTACACTTACTTAACACAGTTCGGAGGTGGAGGGCAAACCAGCAACCAAAATTGACCTTAGTCCGAGTAACCATGCACCAAATGAAAAAGAACTCGGGTTTGGTCAAAGTATCTGAACTATCCTTTCTACCAGAGAAACTGTAAGCCATAAATCTATGTAAATAACAGTAGGCGGGACCTTTAAGAAAAGATGTCTTAGACTGGCTGGGGTCATAGTTGTGTCGGTCAACCAACAAATCTCTCCAATAACCAATGTTATGAGAGAAAAATGGCTCCGTGTACTCGTACGGACTGTGCATATATTCCTCACTCTGGGAGTAGGAAATATCAATGAACCCAAGGGCCAAATTAAATTCAGTGATAGGTTGGGTGAACTCTCTACCCATTAACCTAAACCGCACTATCCCCGGAGTAGTAACAGAGAATTCGTCGAGGATATTAAACTCAAAAAGTAGCACAGAATTCCCACGTCCGTTCAGTAAAAGCAGGTAGAATGATAGCAGCATAACGGGTCCAACCTATGTTAGCTAAATGCTTCGTGACCTCATCCCTCAGATTTAGGAGATCAAGTGTAGGGCCGTGGATATATTGACAAGGAATTATCTTCATTGTGCAAGTCGAGGCGTACCGCTCCTTGTCGGCAGTCCCAGTGAAGGTCAAATGACCGTCAAAATGGGCCGGAAAGGAAATATGAACCTTCCTATTCCGCCCAAGGTGGGTCCGGGGTCCTTCCTGACCAGTCGTTGGGGCAGGTCTACCCAAGGGGACCGTAGGTTGTGGGGTGGAGGTGGAAGGTTTGTTCTTGCCTTTGTTCTTTGGTTTGGTCATTGGATATCAGTGAACAGGGTGAAGGCAAGGGAATGGTGTGCACAAGAGATCAACAGATAGCCAACAAAGTAAATGATTTCCAGTCACAGACAAGTGCAGAAACAGACAATAACCTCACCCCAAAAACTAATTGCACCTGTAAACAGCAAAATTTTTCCCAAATACTACCAATTCAACCCCAAAATTAATTAGTTAGATAAACACAGCAAAACTCCCCCAAAAACTAATTAAACGGGTAACCAGAGTAAAAACTTCCCTCAAATATCACTGGTTGAGCGCAAAATATAACAAATAGTTAACAGTTAACCACAGATATATCACAGCACCCAAACAAGCATAAAATTTCTATCCTCAGCTAGCAAATCAAAAATCTGGCATCAGCTAATTAAAAACTAGTAATCTGGCCTCAGCTAATTAATGACAGAAAAATAAAGAAAGAAATCACCGGAGGGGAGAACAGGCAGTGAGTAGAAGCAGAGAGCAGGACGGTACAGAGGTGGAGGAAAATACTGTGCGTGTGTCGCACGCGCTAGGGCAGGCTTGCACTGGGGGCTGCAGAGCTCGCCTGGGCTGGAGAATGGCACGCACGCAGAGGCTGCTCGTGCCTGGAACTTGCGCGCAAGGGTCGTGCTGGGGCTAGGCTTGTGCGCCACTGCTGGCGCTCATGCGGAGAAGGTGCGCGCCGCCGCTGCCACTCGCTGTCCTGGTCGCGCGCAGACTGGCAAGCCCGCTATGCTAGTGATCGCGCGCCTCTGCTGTGCGTGCTACAATACGAAGTTGCATGCGGGTTGGGGCTCGCGCGCGAGCAGCTGGCCTGCAATTGCTGTTGGCCTGCGCGCGGATGGCGGGCTGGTGCTGCTTGGCTCGTGCGAGCTGAGCTGCGCTGGTGTGCACGCGGCATTGCTGGGCAGGAGGGGGAGGCGCTTCTCGTAAGGGCTGGTGGGAGCTCGCCTGGACTGTGTGAGCTGGATGGAGTGCGCGGTGGAGGGAGGTGGCGACTGGCGAGCTGTGGTGGCGGTGTGGCGCGACGGCGGACGAAGGCGGCGGTCAGCAATGGGGTGCAGCTAAGAGTGGGAGAAGAAAGAAAAGAAAGAAAAAGAAAGAAAGAAAGAAGAAGGAAGAAAAGAAGAAGTAGGGCTACGGGGGCCCTTTCCCAATTTTTTCCCAAGGGCATTTTCGTCTTTTTATAACCCCCCTTTTTTTTGGTTTTTTTCAAGAGTGAACAAAGAACCCTTGTCTTAGGCGTGAGCACTCCTAACTGCCCTCTAGTCTTCTGACCATCCGTCTAAAATTTTTGATCATTTAGCGTGATCACCTAGCGTGGGCACGCCTAACTACGGTAGAGTCTTCTGACCGCGAACGAAAAATTTCTTCCCTTAAACGTGACCACCTGGTATGGGCATGCTTAACTGCTATAGAGTCTTCTAACCGTTGCCTTCCAACTCTTTTCCTTAGACATGACCACTTAGCGTGGGCACGTCTAACTGCCAACTTCCTGCCACCAAACAACAAACTACTAAATGATACTAATACTTAACTAAAACTTAAAAAATGTACGAAAACTAAAATAAACAGTCTTGGATTGCCTTCCAAGTAGCGCCTTCTTTAACATCTTTGGCTAGATATTGCCGAAACCCTCAAGCAAGATAAAGTGGATCCTAGAGATGTACAACTTCTACTTCTTCAACAGAGAATCCTTCATAATAAGGTTTGAGACGATGGCTATTCACCACGAACTTCTTTTCCATTTTTAAACTTTGGATCTCCACTGCACCATAATGAAACACATTAGAAACAAAAAATGGACCAATCCAACGAGAACGTAACTTACCAGGAAAGAGTTTAAGCCTTGAGTGATATAAGAGGACTTTTTGTCCCACTACAAAAGATTTCCTTGAGACTTGCTGATCATGAAAGATTTTACTCTTTTCTTTGTAGATCGTGGCATTTTCATATGCTTCATTCTTAATTTCCTCCAATTCTTGTAGCTGCAATTTCCTTTGACGCTTCTTCCAGGTCCATGTTGCATTGCTTCATTGCCCAGACGCCTTGTGTTCGAACTCCATGGGAAGATGACAAGCCTTACCAAAGACTAGTCTGTACGGTGACATCCCAATTGGCGTCATATACGCGGTTCTGTATGCCCATAGTACGTCTTCTAACTTTGAAATCCAATCCTTCCTATCTGGGCGCACCATCTTCTCCAAGATTGATTTGATCTCCCTGTTTGACACTTCAGCTTGCCCATTTGTCTGCGAGTGATACGGTGCGGATACCTTGTGGAGCACGCCGTATTTTTGGAACAGGGCAGTGATAGTCTTATTACAAAAATGTGTCCCCCTATCACTTACCACAGCTCTTGGCATTCCAAAGCAGACAAAAATATTAGATTTTAAGAATTCTGCAACCACTCTAGAATCGTTAGTATGGGTGGCTTTGGCTTCCACCCATTTACAGATATAATCAACCCCAAGTAAAATGTATAGGAAACCAAAAAATGAGGGAAAAGGACCCATAAAATCTATCCTCCAAACATAAAAAATTTTCACAAACAACATGGGGGTTTGAAGCATTTGGTCCTTACGAAAAATATTTCCCACCCTCTGACACCTATCACAGGATTTGCAAAATAAGTATGTATCTTTAAAAAGGGTGGGCCAGTCACTCTCCAACACTTTGCGAGCTGATTGCTTGGGGCCAAAATGCCCTCCACAAGCAAACGAATGACAAAAATTTAAAATGAAATGGAAATCACCTGCACTTACACACCTTCTTAGCATTTGATCCGAACATTGTCTCCATAAGTAGGGGTCGTCCCAAATGTAGTATTTACCATCACTCTTTAACTTATCTCTCCTGGCTTTCGGCCAACCTGCGGGCAATTGATTAGTCACTAAGAAATTTACCATATCAGCATACCAGGGTGCAGACGAATCAACGGCCAGTAGTTGTTCCTCTGGAAACGCCTCTCTCAATGGTTGCTCCTCCTTATGTGCAAGTAAGCGACTCAAGTGATCAGCAACTAGGTTCTCTGCCCCACTTTTATCTTTAATCTCCAAGTTGAACTCTTGAAGGAGCAGGATCCATCTGATGAATCTTGGTTTAGCATCATTTTTTGTCATCAAGTACCTTAAGGTTGCATGATCAGAGAAAACTGTTACTTTTGTACCTAACAAATAAGGTCTAAATTTTTCTATTGCAAAAACCATATCTAGTAATTCTTTCTCTGTTGTAGAGTAGTTGAGCTGAGCTCCATTCAACGCCTTTGATGCATAGTAGATTGCATGTGCCGCCCTGCTGACTCTTTGCCCCAACATAGCTCCCACGGCGTAGTCACTCGCGTCACACATAATTTCGAATAGGAGGCTCCAGTTTGGAGGTTGGATAATGGGTGGCGATGTCAATGACTCCTTTAATCTGTCAAATGCTCCCTTGCATTCCTCGGTGAAGTCAAATGCTATATCCTTCTGCAACAGTTTGAACAGAGGCGCTTCAATTTTGGAGAAATCTTTGATAAATCTCCTGTAGAACCCTGCATGACCCAAAAAGGAACGCACTTCCCGTACACTTATGAGATAAGGTAAAGCAGAAATAATATCGACCTTTGCTTTATCTACTTCTATTCCCTTAGCCGACACTACATGGCCTAAGACAATACCATGCTCCACCGTGAAATGACATTTTTTCCAATTTAGAACTAAATTTGTCTCTATGCATCTTTTCAAAATCAAGGCTAAGTTATCAAAGCATTCATCAAAACTATCCCCATACACACTAAAATCATCCATGAACACCTCAATAATCTTTTTTACATATTCGGACAAGATACTCACCATGTACCTTTGAAAAGTCGTTGGAGCATTGCAGAGGCCGAAAAGCATTCTCCGGTAGCCAAAAGTACCAAAGGGACAGGTGAATGTAGTTTTCTCCTGGTTTTTCAGTGCTATCGCGATTAGGAAATAACCTGAAAAACCATCAAGGAAACAGTAATAGCTAACCTCTCTATCATCTGATCAATAAAAGGGAGAGCGAAGTGATCCTTCTTTGCCACAGCATTCAAACGCCGGTGATCAATACACTAACACCATTCTGTGGGTTTTCTCACCGGAACCATCTCGCCCTCTTAGTTCTCTTTTACGGTTACTCCCGCCTTTTTCGGGACTACTTGCACTGGGCTCACCCAAGAATTATCTGAGATGGCAAAGATGATTCCCATTTTCAGGAGTTTAAGTATTTCCTTCTTTACCACTTCTATCATTAGTGGGTTCAATCTCCGTTGCGCTTGTCTTACCGGTTTTTCATCATCCTCAAGTAAGATCCGATGCGTGCATAAGGAGGGGCTAATTCCCTTGATGTTTGCTATGCTCCCCCCAATCGCCTTCTTATGATCCCGAAGGAGACGAATAAGGCTGTCTTCTTGCCTTGATGACAAGTGAGCATATATGATGACTGGTAGCGTCTTATTGTCTCCGAGAAATACATACTTCAAGTGCTTTGGGAAAGGCTTGAGCTCCAACTCAGGTGCCTGCACAATAGAAGGCAACAATTTCGCCAGAATTTCTGGTACAAAGAGAGAAGTAAACTCATACCTTGGAGAAATTGGTGGGAACGAATGCAATGCTTCAACTGCATGGTATAACTAATCACTTATTTCTACATCAAAAGTTGCTCCCAACTCAAGATGTCTGCCCAATGCCACTGCCAGTGCATCCTCCCTATTCAATTCAAATGTGTCCTATACAAGGGGTTCAATAACACTCAGAGCAAAAACATAGTTAGCCTCATCCGGGTATTTCATCGCATCAAAGATATTGAAATTTACAATTTCACCATCAAACTCCATCGACAAAGTATTCTCATTCACATCTATTTTTGTCTTAACACTGCTTAAAAATGGCCTACCTAGGAAAATAGGTAACGGGTTTAATGCTTTCTCATATCCCATAGCTAGGACATAAAAATCTGTTGGGAAAACTAACTCATTTACCTGTACCAAGACGTCTTCGACTAACCCCTCTGGATAAGCATTGGTATGGTCTGCTAGTTGGATTATAATGCCCGTGCCTTTAAATGGCCCAAGATTAAGAAACGCATAAATAGTTTTAGGCATTACATTTATTGATACCCCTAAGTCCAACATCGCTTTTCTAATTAGGGTACCCTCTATTTTGCAGGGAATTGTGAACATACCTGGATCTCCGCACTTTGGTGGGAGTTTCCTTTAAAGCATAGCTGACACATTTTCTCCCACCGTCACTCTTTCATCACCCCTTAACATTTTTTTATGGGTGCACAAATCTTTAAAAAATTTGGCGTGCTTAGGTATCTGCTTGATTGCATCCATTAAGAGGATGTTAATCTCCACTTTCCGGAACACATCCAAAAGTTCTTTTTCCTTCTCTACCTTCGTTGCCTTTTCCAACCTGCAAGAAAAGGGAGGTAAGTTAGATTTAATAAGGGGTGGAGGAGTGAATAGTGCCTTAGGATCCTCGCGAATGCATCATTCCTCTTCAATTTCTTTTTCTATCTCCTTCTCACTTTTGCTTTTCGAATTTTTCACTTTAGGTCCCTTGAGTTCCTTGTCACTCCTCAGTGTCGTGGCACTTACATTCTTGGGATTTACCTCGGGTTGGGATGGCAATTTTTCGTGAGCGTGGGACTCCAGACGATTGATGGTAGTTGCCATTTGGCTTATTCGAGCCTCCATATCTTTCATGTCTGATTTGGTCTCCTGCTGGAACTGAGCCATATTCGAGGTTAATAATCTGGTCTCTTGCTGGAGCTGTCTAGTCTCTTGCTGGATCTGGGCGGTAGTCGTAGCCAGACTCTTGACAATATCCTCCAGAGAACTTCCTGCCTTGGAGGATGCAGGTGGTTTTAGTTGCCATGGTTGCTGAAACCCTGGTGGACGATTTGGGAATGAATTTTGTGGCCTGTTCCCATAACTGAGATTGGGATGGTCTCTCCAATCGGGGTTGTATGTGTTGGAGTAGGGGTCATACTGCCTGCGGGGCGCGAGCACACCTCCGGCCATGTTTACCTGTTCCGTCCCGTCCTCTTGCAAAAGGGGGCACATGTCCGTGCAGTGGTCCATACTCGTGTAGATTCCACATACTTTCACTCGCGGTGTGTTTTCCATGGCTAATTGCCTAACAGCAGACGTCAACTCTGACAGTTGCTGCTGAATGGATGAGGTCTCTACCTCGTTAACCTTACGAGTGGGGTTACTCTCACGGTAGCCAAACTACTGAGAGTTCTTTGCCATGGCTTCAATAAGCTCCCACGCTTCCTTCGGTGTCTTGTTCGCCAGGACTCCTCCATTCGCAGTGTCAATGATACTCCTGTCAGTTGACTAGAGCCCTTCATAGAAGTAATGGATCAACAGTTGTTCACTAATTTAATGCTGCGGGCATCTAGTGCACAACTTGTTGAACCTTTCCCAATAGTCGTACAAGGACTCCTCAAAATACTGCTTGATACTGCATATTTCCTTTCTCAAACTCGTAGCCCGGGATACGGGGAAGAATTTTTCTAAGAATTTCTTTTTCAATTGTGCCCATGTGGTGATACTACTTGCACGTAGATAGTATAGCCAATCCTTCGCTACATCCTTGAGAGAGAAGGGGAAGACTCTAAGTCTAATTTGCTCCTCGGCGACCCCAGGAGATTTCATGCTAGAGCAAACCATTTCGAACTCCTTGACGTGTTTGTGGGGCTCTTCACTAGAGAGACCATGGAACGAGGGTAGGAGATGAATCAACCCCGACTTCAGCTCAAAAGCGGTATTCTCAGCCAAAGTGAGGAATGTGATACACAAAGGCTAGTGAGTCAACTCCGGGGCAGCCAACTCCCTTAATATTTGGGTGTTGGCCATGCTAAATTTGTCTTCTACTGACTCATTTACAGTAGATAAGTGTCATTCTTTCCATCCCTTGGTCTCTTGCCTTCGCCTACGCACTGCCTTCTCAACTTCAAGATCGTATATCAATTTACTTGTGCGAGAAGAACGGGACATAAACTAGCAAAAATACCAAGAAAAAGAAAAAAAACTGAACTAAAAAAGAAATAAATATTTCAAACGCCAGTTCCCGGGCAACAGTGCCAAAAATTGACAGGTGTCGAGCCTGTGCAATATTAATAAATAAAACCTAACTGCCACCTAAAACAGTAAATAATCAATTCTAGTACTAGAGCAGGGAGTTTAGGTGTGCAATGGGTTACTTGATTCACCCTGTTCCCGAAGAGTTTGCTTAGTCCAATATACCTGAATTAATTATTTAACTGAATTCACTAACTAGTAGACAGTGGTAAGCAGGGTCATTTCCTCAGAGACTGGAGAGAAATTTATTTCTTTTCAAGTCAAGATTAATGGGGGATTTTGGGATTAGATGCCAATTAAACAAATTAAATGCAGAAAATAATTAATTAAAAGAAATAATTAAGAGAAACTCTAGCCAAGGGTACACTTCAGAAATGGTTCATGCACTAATCATCGATTCATAGATAATTCCAACATTTATTAATAGATTGGTTATAATTGTCATGCACGCGATAAACAACCAACCCTTCCTTAATTTATCGATAGCTAAGGTACGACCGTTAGATATTTCCCTAACCTAAAAACAACCCTAGGTACGACCGTAGGATTTAATTTCTAACTTGCAGTAATAATTAGAAATGCCCAATCCTAACTAACAAATATGCTATAAGAGTTTGTTTAAGCTAGATTGTATGTTCCCCTGACATAAACCCAATTACGTCAGTTGCTACTAAGACAGAGATAACGAACAATTACGGATTCAGTTACCCCTATTTAGCAAAATAGCCTATATGAACAATTAATTATTGCGCACTAACCAATCGTACATGAGGCTATAGCAATTAAAAACAGGGAACATAAGAATATCAATAAATGAAGAAAATAATTAAAACGGTTTAGATCTCACAGTAATAGTTGAACCAATTCATCAGTTGCTCCCTTGACTAGAATTAGGGGTTTAGTTCCCCATAATTTGATGACAAGCCGCGCATGTGGAGTTTGGAAAAGTTTTCAGATCAATTTTTCCCTGCTTCGGTCAACACCAAGAGAAAGCGCAAGGAATTTTTTATTGCTTCCAATTTTCCTCTAAAGCATACTAATACGATGGTCTGATGTTGTCTCCCAATTTCGGTCAAAACTGAGTAAAGAGCAAATCCAAAGAGTCCACAATGGCGGCTGCGCTTTGCTTTCTTTGTTTCTTCACAAAAGAAACATACGAGAGATTGCTGTCAATTGCTTGATTTCTACAATTCACTCGAGAATAGCAATGGCTCCAAGTCAACGAAAGATGGAAAACAAATACAAAGTCAATCATGGAGGCTTTTGTCTCCTACTCCCTTAAAAAGCTACGGGCAACCCCTAATTCAAAAACAACAAGGACAAAAAAAAAAAAAAACCTAAGCCCAGACGAAAGATTAATTCCGTCAAACAAAGAGCAAATCCAAAGAGTCCACAATGGCGGCTGCGCTTTGCTTTCTTTGTTTCCTCACAAAAGAAACAGACGAGAGATTGCTTTCAATTGCTTGATTTCTACAATTCACTCGAGAATAGCAATGGCTCCAAGTCAACGAAAGATGGAAAACAAATACAAAGTCAATCATGGAGGCTTTTGTCTCCTACTCCCTTAAAAAGCTACGGGCAACCCCCGATTCAAAAACAACAAGGACAAAAAAAAAAAAACCTAAGCCCAGACGAAAGATTAATTCCGTCAAACAAAGAGCAAATCCAAAGAGTCCACAATGGCGGCTGCGCTTTGCTTTCTTTGTGCCGCGCCCCATTTTTTGATAAATAAATAAATAGTTTAAAAATGTATTTTTTGATTCAATTTGTGATTTGAAAAATGAATTGTGATTTAAAAGGAAAATGGGTCTAAATGGGGGTTTTGAGAGTGCGACGATTTGACCCAAAAATTATGGTTTAAAAAGGGTTTTTGAAATAAAAAATGGAGTCGCCACTTGGTAATGAATTAAGGTGTACCAAGTCACCTAAAAAATGTATTTTTAAAGAACAATAGGAAAAGGTAGTGAGAAACCCTTTTTAAACGACTCCTAGTCTATGTAAACCAAAGAAAAAGGTTCGGGAGTCACATTTGACAAAGGGGAAGGCAAGGATAAAATCCAAGGCACCCCTTTGACCTAGCCAAGGCTAGTTGCATGATTTAATCAAAGTTTTTCTTGTTTTAACCAAAGAATTTATTACATTTGGATGCACTATATGAATGCAAAAGAAAGAAAAAATGTAAACCTAAATTCTAAAATGTCTCTTGTAAGGTTTTTGGTCCCAACCACATGAATTGTGGCGGCCAATAAAGGAAAACCTTATAGAGGTCGATTAATGCAAATGATGGCTAAAGTGCAAGTGTGCATGTGTATAAAAGGTGCACGTGTGAAATTGTAAAAAATCCAAGTGTTTGTGTGCAAGTGTATGAAATATAGTGATAAGTGCATGTAGGTGTAATTAAGTGCAATTTTGTGAAGTAGAAATCAAAATGAACAATAAGGAAAGGAAAAGTGATGAGGAAATGTGAATTGAAAAAATGAGTAAGTGATAAATGAGAATGAATGAACCTAAAGGAATGCATCAGGTCGGGTATGGGAATGACTCCTAACTTTTTCGACTTCGATTTTCCCTTTGATTAGAAAGCAAAACTAGCGTGCTAAGGCTATCGAGTAGCCACACTCGCTCGTTTCCCTTATCGGAGGGGATTTTCACGCAAATGAACCCTAACTAGCATGAGATGCAAGTCCTAAAGTGAAGGGGAAGGGGTTTGAGGAACATACCAAATGATAAACTAAGGAAAAATGCGTGATATGTGGTGATCATGCACTTAATGAAAAAGGAAAAAAGAACCTATTGGGTCTAGCATTGGACTAGCCCATCCTATGAATTCCGACTAGCGTTGGACTAGTGGAAACGATAAAAGAAGCCACAACTAGCGTTGGACTAGTGTGGTGACGTACATTCATCCATTTCATTCATCCACACTATAAAAAGCGAGTAGGCATGCGAATCACTTATAAACACGTAGCACATAACACTTAGCATGCTTGACTAGATGCAAAATCCTAATAAAGCATTTAACATATAACACATAGGCATGCAACCATTACATTTGCTAACTAAAACAAAAGGGAAAGGGAAAATGGACCAAATTACTTACTACGCCCTATCTATTACAAGCCAAGAGGTGTACACATACCCCATTAATAAAAATCAAAAGTAAATGAAATAAATGAAAGGAAATAAGGAGAGGCTAGGAAAGCAAGTAGACATGCAAATTTCAATTAGCACATTAGTTCACATAGGAGAGAAACAAAAAAGGTAAAAGAGATTATACCTCCCCGTTGGTGATACTAAGGAAGTAAACAAACTCAACTTGGCTAGAATCACCCAAGAAAAGACTAACTTAGGCTAAAATCACCAAAAACAAAAGATTAATGCACCAATTTAGTGATAAGATATAAACTAAACAATTTGAATCCACCAAAACATCAAACTTTCCCTCAATTGCAACTCAATGAAGTCAAAACTACTTAAAGACCAAGGCAAAATGCATGATCATCCAATCCACAAGCATAACATCTACTAAAGACCCAAAAGCAAGTACTACTCAATCAATTGAACACAAAAAGTTCCCCAAGTAAATAACAAGATCCAAACATTATGGAATTTCGAAGGTCCAAGAATGAACAAAGGTCCATGAATGGTTTGAACATGCATTTTGAAAACTCAATAGCAACCATTAATCAATCAAATAAAACCAATTGAGAAATTTAAAAACTTCAAAAGTCCCAAAAACAATGAAAGGCCAAATGATGACTCAAAATACACCCAACTTAGGACCTAATTGTAAAGAAATGAGAACATGCTTGGGCTTTTGTGGAACGTGGAGAAGCTTGAGGGATTAAATTGATTAAGTATTCGAATTACTTGGGCCATAGTGAGCCAAAGGGAAATTTGAGGGGTCAAAGTGCAATTTTTGGAAACACTTTCCATGCAGATTCATGCAACAAACGTAAACAATGCATTCTGCAAACAAGCATTTCGGCCAAAGCTTTCTGCAGCCAAACCATTAATGCAGCTTCCATTTTCGGCAAACATATGTCAAACTTAACACTAGCTTGATCAAAATCCTTTCAAACAACATCCAAAATATGACAAAAAAAAACAAATTTAACGTTCAATCAAACCAAAGCATAGAGGAAAAATCATGCAAATGCCATGCAAAGCTACGGAAGCATTGTCTCCTGCCATTCTTAAATACTTATGATCTGAGATGTGAGCAAGAAAACATACTAATCTTCTAACATAATCACCCAAAAAATCAACCAATTCGTTTAGTTTCATGAACATATATTTTGGAATGAGAACATGCATACACGAGGACCTGAAGCCCTTTTACTTTCTGCGAATTTTTGCTACAAGTATCATACACAATCACCACAGTCTCAGCAAACCAAATGCATATAACAACTTTGAAACTACTTCAAACTAAAACATAGCTGAACATTCCTTAACAAAGCAGATAGTTTGGAAGAAATTCATGCAAAGTAACACAAGACTGGACATTTTTTAAACTAAACAGCCGTGGCCATGGTAGTTCAGAAGAAAAACAGCAAAAGAAGGAAAATGCGGTATGGCCAAAAGAC